ATTAAATTTATTTACTTGAAATCAACTTTAAAATTAATATCAATTTATACATATTTTATGCATTTATAATAAAAAAATACAAATTAAAAAAATTCTTTTAAAAATAATTGGTGTAATATATTAATGGATAATATAAGAACTCATTAAATACTATTACATTTTTGACTCTAGCAATTATGGCATTTAAAAAGAATCTAAAAGAAAGATTTTTACTAGAAGAAGAAAAGTTAAGTGACGTATCAAAGAAAGTAAATTAGAAAAGTGCTATGAATGTAATGTGTGGTAAACTTTATATTCAATCCAAAATTTTGAAATTTAATCCTTATTTATGGTTAAATAAGTGTTTACAACTGTAAGGGAATAAAAGAAATTAATGTTTCTTTTTTTCCTTGGATTAGGGTGATTTAAAGGAGAAATAAAAATTTATCATATTTAATTTTGTTAATAATGTTATATACTTTTAATTTAATTTATTAAAAAATTTCTAATTAATTTGTTAAATCATATATAATTTTTTTACAAATATCATATAATACATCATTTAAATTTAAATATTACTATATTAAATGTTGTTAGTAATTAATTACTAAAAAAATAAATAAAAACGTTGAAAGAATGTCAAAAAAGGAAAAAAAACACGTTTCAAGAGTTCTAAGAGAAAGAAAGAAATCTGCCAGAAAAGAAAAATTAGGTCACGGCGTTAAGAAAAAAAAAAGTAAATTAGGAAAGGGTTATGAATGTGAGACGTGGCAAACCTCCAACTCAATCTAAATTTTTGGAATTTAATTATTGCTTATGGTTAAATAAGTATTTATTACTATAAGGAAATAAAATAAATTAATTTTTTTCCTTAGATTAAGGTCATTTAAAAAGGAAAAATAGAAATTTACCATATTTAATTTTGTTAATACTACAATAAACTTTTAATTTAATTTATTAAAAAATATCTAATTTAATTTTTTAAATCGTATTTATTTTACAACCACCATATAATCAGCATTCAAATTTAAATATTACAATATTAATTATTATTAGTAATTAATTACTAAAAAGATAGAAACATTGAAAGGATGTTAAAAAAAAAAAAAGGGAAAAACACGTTCCAAGAGTTTTAGGAGAAAGAAAATGCAGCCAACAAAGTGTATTGCAATTTAAAAATAGTAGGGCTAGTCTATTAATTGATGGTATAATAGCTCATTAAATAACATAAAAAGAGTAAATTAGGAAAAGGTTATGAATGTGACATGTGACAAACTTTTCCTTATAATATAAAGAGATATATATATATATAGATATAAATTTATAGTTTGAATTTAATCCAAATTTTTGGAATTCAATCCTTGTTTATGGTTAAATAAGTATTTACTACTGTAAGGGAACAAAAGAAATTAATTTTTTTTTTTCGTTTGGATTAGGGTGATTTAAAAGGAGAAATAGAAATTTACCCTGTTTAATTTTGTTAATACTACAATATACTTTTAATTTAATTTCTTAAAAAATTTCTAATTTAATTTGTTGAATCATATTTATTTTTTGTACAAATATCATATAATACATCATTCAAATTCAAATATTACTGTATTAATTATTATTAGTAATTAATTACTAAAAAAAATAGAAACATTGAAAGTGTTCTTGGAGAAAGAAAGTGCAGCCAACAAAGTGTATTGACTATTGTGTAATTTAAAAAGCGTTTGTTTAACATGTGCTTGGCACATGTTAAAAGTATATATTTTTTATCATAAATTTATATAAAAAATAAAAATTAATTTTTAATTTATTAATTATGTAATTAAATTTATTTACTTGAAATCAACTTTAAAATTAATATCAATTTATACATATTTTATGCATTTATAATAAAAAAATACAAATTAAAAAAATTCTTTTAAAAATAATTGGTGTAATATATTAATGGATAATATAAGAACTCATTAAATACTATTACATTTTTGACTCTAGCAATTATGGCATTTAAAAAGAATCTAAAAGAAAGATTTTTACTAGAAGAAGAAAAGTTAAGTGACGTATCAAAGAAAGTAAATTAGAAAAGTGCTATGAATGTAATGTGTGGTAAACTTTATATTCAATCCAAAATTTTGAAATTTAATCCTTATTTATGGTTAAATAAGTGTTTACAACTGTAAGGGAATAAAAGAAATTAATGTTTCTTTTTTTCCTTGGATTAGGGTGATTTAAAGGAGAAATAAAAATTTATCATATTTAATTTTGTTAATAATGTTATATACTTTTAATTTAATTTATTAAAAAATTTCTAATTAATTTGTTAAATCATATATAATTTTTTTACAAATATCATATAATACATCATTTAAATTTAAATATTACTATATTAAATGTTGTTAGTAATTAATTACTAAAAATTAGAAACGTTGAAGCACTTAACTGTTTGAATTAATTGGTACCTTACCAACTTGAGATGCATCTTCCCTCTCTTATAAGCGAGACTTCAAGACCGCCCTTCACAACTTGTCCAAAAAAATAAAAATAAAAACGTTGTAAAAAAAAAAAAAAAAGAAAAGGCACGGGTGGGGGGATTTCGAGAGTTCGAGGGGAAAGGGTTGAGGCTGCTGCCACAGCCTATTTTAGAAATGCTAAACCTAAAAGTATATAGGTTAAAAATTTAATTTGTTCTCTTAATATTTATTTTTAAATTAAATTTATTTTTAAATTTTAAAAAATATTAAAAATATCTGTAAATTTTAATTTTTAAGATCGATTTAATCATTTTATCAATTAAATATTGATGTGATTAAATTTTTTATTAAGTAATTCAATTTTTATTAATATTGAGTATTAAATGAAAACAAAATAAATGATGTGACATTTTTTATGTTGTGTAATTTATAATTTTTAAAGAGATAACGTGAATATAATTAAATAAATAATTATTAAATGATAATTTTGAAATTACTTTCATGCTTCTGTAGTTATCTTCTTCCCCAAATCCTATCTTCTTCCACTCTTGATCAAGCTACTTAGATTCTATCTCATTTCTCCCTCTCCAATCCAAGGTCTGATCAAACTTGAGTAGATGCAAGGTCTGATTGGATTTAAGGTTCGATTTTCTTCATTCTTTCTTTCTCTTCCATTTTGCTTCTTCTTTTCTCTCTCCTCCCTCCTCCTCATCCTTTTTGTTTTTCCCTTTAATGCTAAGAACCCAGCCAAGAGAACTCGCTTTGAGTACCGAACCTAAGTGGGTTCTCCTAAGACTAAACCCGATCTAGGTTCAATCTTTTCTCTTCGATGATTCCAATGAAGATGGATATGGTTCATATGGGAGTGATAGCGATGACGATGGTTGGCGTGGCAGCAACTGGAATTTAGGTTTGCAATCTAAGAAAGGAAACTGATTTGAATGTAGGGAGTGTTGGAGTTGCTTCTAGCTGTAAGGGTAGTAATATAACTAGCCCATAAACATAGTGAAGGCCCATTAGGTCCAAATACAAAAGAGCACATGTGTAAGTTATTATGGAGTTCATATACACTTAAATATATCTAAAGGGACCAACATAAATGCAACACATGTCCAGCAATCTCAAAGTATTTATAAATACCCTCACACCTCTCAAAGGTACGGATCTTTTCCTTCAGTATTTCTCTCTAATACACTCCATTCTCTCTAAAGAGCTCCAAGTGTAGACTATTGCTAACTTAAGTATCGGAGTGTCCATCCTGAAGGCCACCCTCGGGGCTTTGCAGGTTTATTGGGACGAGAAGATCTGAGCAAGGAAGGCCTTGAAGGTTTTCTGCAACAACATTGGCGCCGTCTGTGGGAATCGAATAAAAAGCTTCATTTCCATGTTAATCCAGTTGATTGGAGAGAGGAGAAAACGAGTGAAGGCCTCATGGCCTATTCACTTGAGTTGTAGAAGCAGATCTGATGAATTTACACTTGAGTTGCAGAAGTTTACACTTGAGTTGCAGAAGCAAATGTGATGAAAAGGGTCTATTTGCCCATGAAGAAGAGAAGCTTTCACAAAAAGACAAACAAGGGAGTAGCTCTGCACAATTATCGAGGCAGGTTACAATGTCAGCCATGAGTATTCAAGAAGCAAAAAAGTGTCAGCAAAGCACAAGCTTAAGGTAGCTCAGAGGGGTCCACCAAAAAAAAAAAAAAAAAAAGAAACTTATCCCTTTCCTTCTAAACTCCTCCGGTTTCAGCTATGGTGGTCATGTGCCTCTCTGTTCTTCAACCATAAATGTACTTCTCATCTGTTTAGTTGGTGATAATGAAAATGAAGGAAACAGAAATGGGGTTGGAGGGTGTGGTGAAGAAAGGCATGGAGTTGGGGGAGATGGCATTCAACAAAGACGGTGGAGTCATCAACTGGTTCCTCGCTCACATGGCTGCCGCCACCCGCGCCATCCGCCAACGTCTCAAGCTCTCCGTCCTCGTCATCAAAGTCTGAGATTCTCGAAATACCATTATCCTCTGCTCATAAAGAACTGCAGCCTCAGCTCTCAGCCAAAAAGCTTGCCAGTGTGAAAATCCCTCTAATCAGCTGCTAGGGAACAAAAGTCTATGGTTCCAATGACAGAAGAAGACTAAGCAACTATGGCCCAGCCGACTATGGCTGGGCTCCGTTACTCAAGCTCGACAATGATGAGATACAAGCATCTTGCTCGAGCACGAGCTGAAACAACTTGCTGGAGCACGAGGTGCAAATATCCTACTTGAGCATGAGCTGCTACAAATGTCTTGCTCGAGCACAAGCTATGAATTACAAAAGTCCAAGCTACAAATTGCACAAGTCCGAGGTGTGAGATGCTGAAGCACGAGCTGCGAAATGTCGAGGTGCAAAATGCTGGACCATGAGCTGCAAGCTGCCGAGGTCAACCACCAGCTGCAGAGCTCAAACATTTGCTGCCGAGGTCGAGCACAAAGTGCAAAAATCAAACATGAGCAGCCAAGGTCAGCCACGAGCTGTAGAGGTCAAGCACGAAGTGCAGAGCTCAAACATGAGCTGCTGAGGTTAACCACGAGCTGCAGAGCTCACACTTGCTGCCGAGGTCGAGCACAAAGTGCAGAACTTAAGCACGAGCTGCAGAGTTCAAACATTTATAGCCAAGGTCAGCCACAAGCTGCAGAGGTCAAGCACGAAGTGTAGAGCTCAAACATGAGCTGCCGAGGTCAACCACGAGCTACAGAGCTCAAACACTTGCTGCCAAGGTCAAGCCCGAAGTGCATAACTTGAGCACGAGCTGTAGAGCTCCAACACTTACTGCCGAGGTCAGCCACGAGCTGCAGACGCCAAGCACGAAGTGCAAAACTTGAACACGAGGTGCAGAGGTCGAGTATGAGGTGAAAGATGTGCAGCATGAGCTGCAAGGTGTCAACATCCTCAACATGGTGTCGACACTTTTCCTGCATTAGTCCTGAGGAGTCCGTGCGGGTTTTGTCTTTCTATGCAAATTCTGTTAATGGTAAAATTACAGCCCCGACCCCTTACTTTTGGATTCTGCACAATTTAATCCTCAAATTTCATATCTTTGCAATTTACTCCTAAGGATTGTGACTTTTTCCACTTAAGTCCTCTCCAGCACAGAATGAAAATTATGCAAAATTAAGTAAATTTTCATAAAATTCATCTAAATATCAATAATATCAAGGCATAAATTTTACATTAATATGTATATAAATTTAGTTAATCAACCAAATATTGTTTTGAAAATTAAAAAAGATGAATTTGTAATCTTTTTCTTTTATTTATTTTATATATACTTTTTTTGATTATAAAATTAGATGCCTTTGATTTCTCCTTTTTTCAAGTCCTTGTGATACAGGTTGTCAAGAAAGCAATTGAGCTCCGCAGCAAATTAGAGCTTTGGTCCAAGCTTGGTCCAATCTTATATTGAAATTTATTATTAATTGCTTTCCGCATTCTTTGCATTCATTCCACATTTTTCCATTCATTCTGCACTTGTTTTTGCATTCATGATATCATTTTGTCATCTCATTTTTTATATATCATAATCATGCTACTTTGACCAACGAGGGGTTGGATCAAGTGGTAAGCGGCTTGTTCCAGCTTAAGCAAGGTCTCGAGTTCGAGATCTTGTGTACGCAGCAGCCTTCGTTGGGAGACTCATCCACCATTTCCAGGTGCGCGACGCGGGTCGGGTTCGGATTAGTCGGGGCGAAGCCCTAGATACCGGGCGGGAAACCAAAAAAAAAATCATGCTACTTTGCTCATTTGCACTTATGATTATAAATTTACATTGCTATTTTAGAGATGGAAAAGTGCAGGGACTCCATGTGGGGTGGGTTCTAGAGAAATCCCTTTATGGTGAGCTCCTCCTACACGAGCTATGAACAACTCCTCCATAAAAAATTTTAAAAGGCCACGGGCCCAAACCATAAGGCTCAACAACTTTCAAAGATGATCAAGTAAATTTCTTCTCTGGCATCATTTATGAGAAGCTAGATTTTTTCTCCACATTTGCTCCTGAGTTAAGGCAAGGAGGAGTTAACATTGTTCATAAGAAGTTAAATTCTTTCTCGAGTTTCTATCTCATCGAGCACAATTCTTCCCAACTATAAATTAATTCTGCTCTGCAAGTCAAGTAAGTGTTACATATTAGAAATTTCAAAATTTCTTTGCACATTCAAGATTTTTATTGAGCCATTTCGCATGTCCAATTTTTGTTATTATATTTACAAGCTAGAAAGACTTTTTATTACAACATGCATGACTGCTTGTTTATTGGACATGTTAAAGCATAAAAAATACAAATAATGTAATTTACGATTACAACATTTATGTTTACCAGCTCCAAATGTGTGGGTTGAGGGGGGAGAAGAGTCATATATTATGACTTCTAATAAGAACCTATGATTAAAAAGTGCAACTTCATAATTTATTCAAGTTACAGTTATTAACTGTGATACTGAGCTAAAGATATATATATATTTCTATATCCTTATCATATAATATGGTCAGCCTTGGACTTTAACAATAGGAACTTCATGTGTTGACTTAGGAACTTAAACAAGTTCATAAACTAGGTTGAGTTCATCCTCATGACAGTCCATTCCGAGGAGAACTCCCTTGGATGATGTGAACCTCGGATGAACTCAACTACTTGAGCTAATCCTCATGCTAACCCATTCTGAGGTCAACTACCTTGGATAAGGTAAACCTCGGATGAACTCAATTGCTTGAGCTCATCCTCATAATAACCCATCCCGAGGTCAACTACCTTGGATAAGGTAAACCTCGGATGAACTCAACTGCTTGAGCTCATCCTCATGATAGCCCTTTCCGAGGTCAACTACCTTGGATGAGGTAAACAATCTTGGATGAACTCAATTGCTTGAGCTCATCCTCATGACAACTCATTACGAGGTGAACTCCCTTGGATGGTGTAAGCAACCTCGGATGAACTCAACTACTTGAGCTCATCCTCATGACAACCCATTCCGAGGTGAACTCCCTTGGATGGTGTAAGCAACCTCGGATGAACTCAACTACTTGAGCTCATCCTCATGACAGCCCATTTGGATGAGGTAAACAACTTTAGATGAACTCAACTGCTTGAGCTCATCCCTATGACAGTTGAGCTCAAGTCTAGCTTGCAACCAGCTTGTCATTTCACCAGCTATCTTGTGTTCCACCTCTCATGGGCCATTCATCAATAAGATATGCTAAGCTCCTATTTATTCAATATATTCTTCATGTTTCAACAAAAAGTGAGTGGCTTAAATGACATTTATTTATATTAATACATTTGTGGAGCCTCATGCAAATAGTGGAATAATCCACAAGCTAATGGTATCCACGAGTTGGTGGTCTTTATTATTGGTTCTAACTTAAAGAGATAAATCTCTCTTTGAGAGGGGGAGTAGGAATACATAAGCAACAAAAATAAACTTTCACATTTTACTAGGCATGTGCTTGACTTGCTGCTTGAATATATTTTGAAACTCATATTTTAGCATTGTTTATTTTGATGACTCATGTCACAGACCTTTATATTTAATTCTAAATTATTGTGCCACTTTAATGTTGATGCATCTCATATATTATTGATTATTGATGAAGTAATGGTATCTTGTCAAGTTCTATATTTAGAATGAATTCTTACAGGTTTGATGAATTTGTTAACTCCTTGGCTTGGAAGACTCAGAAATATGTTATCATCTTTTAACATGTTTTACTTCGGCTTCGGCCCACAGTGACTCTGTCACATGCTTTACTTTGGCTTCGGCCACAGTGACTTACTGTCACACGTTTTACGTCAGCTCCGGCCACAGTGACCCAACGTCACAAGTTTTACTTTGGCTCCGGCTCACAGTGACCCAGTGTCACATGTTTTACTTTGGCTCTGGCTACAGTGACCAAGCGTCAAAAGTTTTACTTCGGCTCCGACCCACAGTGATCCAGTGTCACATGTTTTACTTCGGCTTGGGCCCACAGTGACTCAGTGTTACATGCTTTACTTCGGCTTTGGCCACAATGACTCAGTGTCACATGCTTTACTTCAGCTTCGGCCACAGTGACTGTCACGTTTTACGTCGGCTCTGGTCACAGTGACCCAGCGTCATAAGTTTTACTTCGGCTCCGGCCCACAGTGACCCAGTGTCACATGTTTTACTTCGGCTCCGACCACAGTGACCTAGCGTCACAAGTTTTACTTTGGCTCCGGCCCACAATGACCCAGTGTCACATGTTTTACTTCGGCTCTGGTCATAGTAACTCAATGTCACATGCTTTACTTCGGCTCCGGCCACAGTGACCCAGCGTCACACGTTTCACTTCGCCTCTGGTCGCAGTAACTCAGTGTCACACGTTTTACTTCGGCTCCAGCCATAGTGACCCAGTGTCACATACATTAATAGTATTATATAACATGCTTCTCACATTAGCTGATCTTGTATTTATTACCTGCTATCATATACTTCCTTTACCACATCATTCACAAGTGAATGACTTCGAGGAGGGAATAATGTAAGGATAGGTCCGAGGTGCGGGATGCTGAAGCACGAGCATCCTTACTTCGGCTACGGCCATAGTGACCTCGAGTCACATTTTATTTCAGCTCCGGCCACATAACTTCGATCATTACTTTTATTTCGGCTCCGGCCCTTATAACTCTGGTCATTGCTTATTACCTCGGCTCTGGCCACATGACTTCGATCATTACTTTTACCTCGGCTCCGGCCATAGTGACCCCGAGTCACATGTTACTTCAGCTCCGACTATAGTGGTCCCGAGTTATATATTTTACTTCGGCTCTGACCATAGTGACCTCGAGTCACCTATTTTACTTCGGCTCCTGTCATAGTGACTATGCGTCACCTATTTTACTTCGGCTTCGGCCATAGTGACTCCGTGTCACGTATTTTTACCTCGGCTACAGCTCAAAACACATGACTCCGCATCATACATTTTTACCTCGGCTACGGCCCAGAACACATGACTCCGCGTCATGCATTTTTACTTAGGCTACAGCCCTAACACATGACTCTGTGTCATGCATTTTTACCTCGGCTACAGCCTAAAACACGACTTCATGTCATACATTGTTATATCTATTACCCCCATCTACACTCATCTTCCACACTAATCATTCACAAGTGAATGACTCCGGGAGGGGGAATAGTGTAAGGGTAGTAATATAACTAACCCATAAACATAGTGAAGGCCCATGAGGCCTAAATACAAAAGAGCACATGCATAAGTTACTATGGAGTTCATATAGACTCAAATAGATCCAAAGGGACCAACAGAAATGCAACACATGTCCAGCATTCTCAAAGGATTTATAAATACCCCCACACCCCTCAAAGGTACGGATCTTTTCCTTTAGTATTTCTCTCTAATACACTCCATTCTTTCTAAAGAGCTCAAAGTGTAAATTATTGCTGACTTAAGCATCGGAGTGTCTACCTCGAGGGCCACCCTCGGGGCTTTGCAGGTTTATTGGACGAGAAGATCTGAGCAAGGAAGGCCTTGAAGGTTTTCTACAACAACACTAGCTTTCCTTTTTTGCATCCAAGAAGCACTCTCTATGTCGGGCATGTTTCTTTCCATTCAAGAATAGGTATGCAAAATAGATTTCAGTGTGAAATTGAATTTATTGAAGATGAATTGATTGAAAGAAAGGCAAGTGCTTATAGTGTGTGCCCTAATTAATTGGTCTAGTTTTGATTTGTGCAATTTTGTTGTCCTAATAAGGAGGATTGAAGGTTGAAAT